AATCTTGGTACTGACTTTTAAAGCTTTGAATTGTGATGCCCCTGCTTACATTTCTGATCTTTTAGAACCCCACGCTCCCTCTCGCAGCCTGAGATCTTCTAATCAAAGGCTGTTGGTAGTCCCTCGAACATATTTTAAAACCAGAGTTGATAGATCTTTTAGAGCGATGGCCCCCAGGTTGTGGAATGCTCTCCCTCCATCATTACGTTGCCTTGATTGTATTTATTCTTTTAAAAAGCAACTTAAGACTCATTTATTTAGATTGGCTTTTAATTAGATTTGTGCTGTGTTTTATTATTAATGTATTTTATGTATTTCTGTTTTATATTACTGTGAAGCACTTTGTGGTTTTTATCCTCTGAAAAGTGCTATATAAATAAATTGATTTGATTTGATCCACAAATCTTCTCTGTGGTCTTCCTGTTTTCCTCCTGCATGGCAGCTTCATATTCAGCATCCTTTCTCCTTTACATCAACTATCCCTCCTCTGCTCATCTCCAAAATATCTCAGCCTTGAGTCCCTTATCTCCTTACTGCTCAACCTGAGCTTCCCCTCTGATGTACTCCATTCTAACTCCCAATGAAAAACCTTCGCATCTTCAATTCTGCCACCTCCAGCTCTGTGTCCTCTCTTTTTGTTAGAGACTTCAAACTGCTATTAGCATTTGAATTGGGTCTTTCCAGTGAAATAAAAGTGGCATGAGTGGCACAGAGGGTAAGAAAATACACTACTGATATCTGGCAAAGTAGCAATTTAGCCACTGAAGAGGCAGTTTCTGACCAAACTCTTCTCATGACCTCTTGAATGGACCTATACCATAGTGCAGCTCGTAGTGTAAGAACAGCTTAAGTGCTTATTAAGGGCAAAAAGCTGCTATATAAATAACACTGCAGTCACTCGTGTGTTTGGTTTCACTGATTGTCATTTTAAGGCAAATGTGAAGAGCTACTAATTACATGGCAGTGATGTAATTGCACCCGATCCTCCATCAATGATCTACTCGCTCATCCAGCTCAGAGTCCCTTAGAACTCTCAGGTTAATGTAACAAGTGAAGTGTTAAGTTTTCTTGTCACTGTTTGGCTGTATTGCACAAACTAGTGAAAATTACAAAGATGACCTCAACTTGAGCACACTTTTGATGAAGACAGACAATGAACGCCTCGGCATAACATGAGCTCATCTGTCATTTGGCAATATATGCTTTAAAAAACAAACAAACAACAAACTACAACATCAGAGGTCGAAGAACTACAATTGACTTCACTACCTGTAATGCAGACACAAAAAGGGGGTAGTTCTAAACAGATCTGCGGCACATTTCTACTGCGCTGAAGACATTTATGTATGTGTAAGTAAACACAAAGCAGAGAAAAATTTACATATGCACTATATGGATAACCTTGACCTTGAGAACCCATGCAATGAAGCTCTCGGTGCACTTTTTGTGCTGACATTAATGACAGAGGAGGTTTGGAACTCTGCATATAATTGACTCAGCAGAGCGACTGTTACACACATTGCTCCTAAGTCCTCAGTGATCCCTCTTGATAGCTTTACTTGTCCTGCCACTCCGAGGCTGTTCTTAAATTTCACATTTTTTTTGCAATAACACCACTGACAGCACCACGCTTGAATTTAGTGAATAACCTTAGTTAAAACCAAACTTACTGGATTGCATGTCACTATATTAGCATTTGCAGAAGTAATACATTCACACTTACAGATTTTTAGAAGCTTTTCTTAGATACAATGTTGTTTCTTTTCCTACCTGTAGAGTTGTTATGATGCAGCAGTTTGGAGGAGGACCTCAGGCCAGAAGTCAGTCCTGTAGAGTTTTGGGAAAGGGGGCTCTTCTTTAAGTGCTCTGATGTAGCAACACTGTTCTCTATGAAGGACTCACCTGGGAACAAAGAACACAATTATACTAGTACCTAAAAAAAAAGAAGCAAAATAACAAAAGAGGTCCCACGGGTAAACATCCAATGTAGTAAAAAAAAAAAAGATAACAAGTAACAAAAAAGAGGCCCAACTGACAGCGTATTCGTCAGACACACTGTGCTTCGCAGCGATTTTGCTGTACCCCTCAGAGAATACCACGGTGATTTAACAGGGTTATGGCATTCTGTAAAAGTATAAGGGCACTTTGAAGGGGATATTACCCCTTTTACACATATATCTTCCAATATTACATTAACTTAATTAAAATTTAAGGAAATGGAAAGATGATTAAATGATTAACCTCCTGCCCCAGAATTTAATAGCATTCGCTCTTGAGCTCTGTTTAACTACCTCCTTTTAAATGATTACAGAAAGCTTTACTAGACAAGTCAGAGCACCCAGTTATTACAATTAAAATGTTTGACAGAAATATGATGCCGGATTCCACTTTGAATAGCCTCTGATACTAAATGAGCAGAATCCTTTGATGTCAGCTTATTTCCAGTTATTTCTGCACACAAATAAAGAACAAAGAAAAATATGATTAAAGACATTTTACAAAAGAGAAATTTACCAGAGGCAGAACATACATACAGTGATGTGAGAAAGAAAGTTTTTGTTAACACACACCTGAATGCTACAGACAAGCAAACTGCTAAAACTTCTGCCTTCTTGCTGATGATCAATAAATCAAAGGCATTTGATTAGCAACACTTGGCTGCTACTTAGCCTCTTAATTCCTATGGATGCAGTCAGCCTCTCCTCTGAAAAGGCTCCCTCTTTTAATACACAACTGTATTTGGTACCACCGTTTAGTAAGTTACAATGTTCAACAAAGTGTGTGCCCACAATAAAAACAAATAGGTTCACAAATAATTTTTTACTGACCAATCCTCCAAAGAAACAGCCTAATACTTTATTAGAGTGCAAACAACTCCAAAAAATGTGGTGCTAACATTTTAAAGCACGACTTGTGTCGCCTAATATGGCTTTTTTCCCCTTTTTTCCTGAATGGTTGATACTACTTGTGTATCTATTATTTTACTTAATTTATGTTTGTCACCATGATGAATGCTAACTTTAAACGTGGTCAAACGTGGCCATGGCTTCACTTTGAACACACTGTTTCACACAGTTTTTTGCACTCTTTGATACTTGTGATGTCAAAGAGAGGAGATCTTAATAGCACACGGCTCTGGCTTACTGTACAGCAGCCCCATCGACCTGCTATTCAAACCTTTTATTTGTAAAAGGCAGCCGACTTACAGAAGAAATTTGGCTTAAAGGAACCAAGCTACAAGGGCTTGTCTGAGATAGTACAGCTCTGTAGTTGATCCACTAAGGGCCGGTAAAGTCCAAATTCAAGAATAAAAGTATGGAGCAAATTAGCATGAGCCTACTAAAGAGCAAGTAGATGAACGTTAAATTATGCTTTTTGAGAAGTGATAAAAACATAATAATCTAATCTAAAATCAAAATGATAAATCATTAATCATATATATACACACGCTGCTGAGAGGAAGCATGCACACTTGGTACCTATGCAGTGTGGTGGTCATTATTTAATGATCAACTTTATGTCAGTTAAAATGCAGTGCACACTGCAAACACCTCTATGCCTTATAAAGATCTCTCTCTCTATCTTTTTAAGAGATATATAATATATACAATAATATATACAGTTTTGTAAACTACAAATTTGTTCATTTCAGGTAGCTTTACATTCAACACCGGCATATTTCACCATTTAAGCATTGAGTTATAATGGGAAGAAAAACTGACACAAGGGGGAGCACCGATATTACTTTACAGCAGCCACACAGAAAAGAGATTTTTTTTTAACCAGCCTCATGATCTGGTGATCAGCCAATGCCAGCCCAGTACTGAGCTGATCAGTTATTTCAAAATGCCATTTAATGATCTACCAATACATATGTCACCTGACTAATAATATCACAGACTTTCATGGATAGACTAATATATATTTTCCCTAGCTCTAAATAAAAGCAAAACAAATTCTATATGAATGGTAGTATGAGTAATAAGAACAGATTATGAATGAATGAAACAGCTTACCATCAGTGGAGTGCCGTGGGATTTTTGGCAGTTTCGGAGACAGAGGATTGCTGAAGTCCTGAAGGAACCGTTTTGTGCTTCGTACTGGGACCGCTTTCAGATTGTCTCCAAAACCTCTCCTCTCTAAAACAAGCACACATGGGTTGAAGAACAGCTGGAGGCTTTTGTGCCATGTTAACTAAAAATCAAGAAGCTGGATGTGACAAAGATGCAAGTCAATGTACCAGAGCAGTGATATTTTAGATCTCTAACAATTACGCTGAATGTGTGTTACATAATTATCCTTCGTTTTAAGAAAAAAAGAGAGAGCATATTTTAGGCCACACTGCCCAAACCTAGTTCTCTTCACTACCCCTGTCTTTGCAATTTTAACACATTACTTGCTTTCCACAATACAGCAAATAAGGATTCATTTTCTAGAAGCATATTGCCAACATCTCTGCATAAATAAGGCAGACACATAATAGTCTGCTGTTTCCTCTCACCTAAACCACTTAGAAAACAGTCTAAACCAGTCTTTTCCTACTAAGCTTAGCATGTTTTTCCACCTGACACAAGAGCCCAATGACTATTATAAAACTTTAGCTGCCTTTTCATTAAATGTAATAAAAGTGAGCGTCTGTCTTTGACACTGGTACTTTTCAATGTAAGAGCATGGTTCTAACAGCTATGTTAAAATAAATGAACACTGTACACGTGAACACACAGTGGGCAAACAGCGACCCTGACCTGTAGTGTACGTGTGACTGTCGTAGTGAAGACCCCCTCTGGCTACAGGCTGGCTGCCAAACAAAGGATCGCAGTGCAGGTTGTGGCAAAGTTTTTCCAGGAAGCGGAGGACATAGGTGACACTGCTGACAGTTGGCAGGGTCAAGGTGTGCTGCTGCTGGTCAAAAAAGGCTGGAAAAGACATGGTGGATATTAATTCAGCTGCTTCATTCAAGTGTAATTCAATAAACAGGCTGTGTTACAGATGTGAGTGAGCTTTCATGAATAAACAAAATCCGACCCACACGATCTGTGTAACATAACTCAAGCAACAACAATAGAATCGGCCAAGTGGTTTGTTTTATTTTTTCGTACTTTGTTGGTTCTTGATGTTCTCGTGGATAAGTGAGCATTGCCACAATAAATTCATAAGCACTAAATCAAAGAGAAGAAAGGGTAATAATAATAATAATAATAATAATACATTTTATTTATAGGCGCCTTTCAGACCCTCAAGGTCACCTTACAGTAGCGCGTAAACAATACTATAAAAAACATAAGAAAAATGTATATATAGCAAACATGGTAGATGAAATTTAGACATAAACAGTCATAAAAGTATAAAAGCAAATATAAAAACTGGCCTAAGACAGATCAGGTGTATGCAATTCTAAACAGATGGGTTTTGAGTAGTGATTTAAAAGTGGTGAGAAAGTGTGTAGTCCGTAGAGTAAGTGGAAGTGCATTCCAAAGTCTCGGGGCAGAACAACTAAAGGCTCTGAGTCCCATGGTAGTCAGGCGAGCAGGTGGAACTGACAGAAGGGAAGCTGAAGAAGAGCGGAGTGTACGAAGGGGCGAGTATGTATGGAGAAGATAGATATGGAGGAGCAAAGTTATGAAGCGCTTTGAAAGTGAGAAGTAAGATCTTGAAATTGACACGGAGGTGAATTGGGAGCCAATGGAGCTGTTTAAGAACAGGTGTTATATGTGCAGTGGATCTAGTTCTGGAAATAACACGAGCAGCTGTATTTTGAACTAACTGCAATTTATGGAGGGATTTATGAGGTAGACCATAGAGAAGAGAATTACAGTAATCCAGACGAGATGTAACAAGAGCATTGACAAGTATGTGTGGTGTGAGTGAGGGACGAAGACGGTTAATATTACGGAGATGAAAGTAGGAAGACCGAGTGATATTATTTATATGTGCTGTGAAGGACAGAGTGCTATCGAGAATGACACCAAGACTCTTAACCTGAGGGGAGGGTGTGACAACAGAGTTATCAATGGATAAAAAAAGACTGGTTGGAACTGTAGTCAGTTTTGATCTGGTGCCTATTAAAATGAATTCTGTTTTACTGCCATTAAGTTTAAGAAAAGAAAGTGAATTTACTTTCAAATTAGACCAATGCACACCTGAAATGACTTCTCCTCCTTGTCCAGATTTCAGGCAGGAGAAGACTGTGCCCTGGTTGTGAGCAGAGTCCACACAAGCTTGGACACACTGCTGAAGCACTGACGAGGCTCGGCCTGGCCCAAAGTGGTCTGGCAGCTGTTGGATACGCCGTTGGTCTAAATGGGGTCCCATCTTGCCGTACTTGTTTAGGTACACACAAACTAAAAGGCGAAAGGTGTATGACCTTAAATGACACTGAATGAAAAACCCCAAAAAGCAATGTGCATTATGTGTAGGCCTGTGGACGCTGTGTACCTGTGGGAGCCTGTAGTGCAGAATTGGGGATGGTAGCATTGTCCAGGGGCACCGTGCTGGTGTCAGGCTCTGGGGTACTGCTGGTGGGAGACGTGGGGACTGGATTAGGTACCACTCGTGGTTTTCTCTGTATGCAAATACACAAATTCAGAGCAATCAGTACATATATTTAGAAAAGCAAATAAAAGAACTGAGCTAAGTACTGTCTGTTTCTGTAAATGGTAATGGAAAACTAAACAAACATACAAACTGGATGCTGCCAACACTACCAATGGCTGAGCACTGTGGTTTTGCAACTGTTTGCGCTTAATAAATGGATACCAGCTCAGTCTATCTTACCCATAAACAACTATATCGTTTATAAAGACATAAATATGATGAAACCAAGGCTTTTAAAAATTTTTTATACCATGTATGATACAAATGAGCAGGCATGTTTAACTAGCTAGGAAATTTATGATAACAGAAACAGGAACGGGCTTTGTCAGATCAGAGGGTTAACTAAGGCTATGTTCACACTGCAGGTCTTAATGCTCAATTCTGATTTTTTGATCAAATCCGATTTTTTTTGTCTGCTTGTTCACACTAGAAATAAAATGCGACAGCAAACG